GGACATAAAAGAGCTGCAGGAGACTTTGCATCCCTCAGTCCTTTACCCTGGCCTGGTTGTTCTCAAGCTGATCATCAGCATACAGCCTCCAAGTCCTCGTGTTGGTGGTGTGGCTGGAAAAGGAGGATGGGGCACACCTCGTTCTTGAAAACCCTGCTGCTCGGTTGAAGCCGGCGAAATCCCTGCTTGAGCACTTGGATGATGGTGGGCTTGATGACTGCAGCTTCACAGGGCTGAGGGCACATGTGGGAAGCCCTTGGGCGTGTGTGAGTGCTGCACATCATCCGGGCTGCCCCTGCCTCTCCCAAGGACACCGGGGCTCTAGGCTGGATGTGCATCAGACATTCCACTGTGCCGTGCATCCTGCGCTGGAGACTTTCCATGGTGCATTTCCATGACTCACTGTTCATGCCAGCTGAATCATCTGTGACACTACTATTTGTTTCCTTGCCAAGGTGCAGAAGCATCCTCTTTTTCACCCCTCCATGAAACAAGTCTGGCAGCAGCCCTTGCAATCCAGAAGGAACAGGCAAAAAGATCCTGAAATGAAGGTTGCACGTGGCAGCATCCTTCTTTCTCCTCTGTGCATGCTGCTTTGCCCTGCTGATACCAGCTCCGAAGGATTTTACTGTAACTCTCCTTCTTGCAAACACCCACTTGGTATTAGGCCTTACCTACACTCAAGTGTTTTCCAAGTTTGGAACCAGTTAGGGGTGTACTTGCCTCTGAGCCTGGTTTGTATCTGCACAGCAATACTTGTTTCGTAACCATGGCAGCTCACAGTGACTCATCCTGCCAGAGGCCTCAGCCCAAGTTAGCAGAAGGCTTCTTTTTTTTTTATTCTTTTCCTTTCCCTCTGTAACCAGCTCAGCACACTCTTGTTTTGCTACATCTTCTTGCCGCAGTTGCATAACTCACTCCTCACGTTCACATTCCTCTGGCTCCGTGCTGGGGGACAACCCTGGGACACGCTGCCCTGCTCACCTCTGGCTTCACCCCAGGAGCACAGGGCCCTGGCTCCCCTCGAAGGCTCCAGCAGATCTGGCTCCCCAGGGTGGGTAATGAAGACACTGCTCAGACTGAGCCAACCTGTGGGCTTGTGGTTGATGCAGAGAGGCTGTGAACATACAGCAGAAGAAACCAAAGCAGAAAGTCACCATGGCCTGGAGAAGACTGTGCTGACAGACCCAGCCTGAAGCTTGTTGTTGCCTTCAAGAGTTCTTTGGGGAACATAAACAGGGTTCCTACTCATATCTATATATATTTATATAGATATATTCCTTTTACACTCATGTATCCAGCCATGGCTAGACTAAGACAAAACCCTGTTGTTCTACCAGGAGGTGTATCCTGCAGGAGTATCTCCTTCCTACACATTGCTCTTTTAGAAAAATGGGATTTGCCAGCAGTGGATTCAACACAGTGCCTTGATAGTGAGGAAAGAGGTTTCTTACAAAGTCAGACTGAGTCATGTGTGGGAATGGTGATTCCTGACCTCACGAGTGGCAGGGGCAGCTCAGACATGTCAAAGTTTCCAAATACAGCAACTGACAATGCCTGCATTTCCCCTGCCACCAAGATCCATCTATTATTATTATTATTATTATTATTATTATTATTATTATTATTATTATTATTATTATTATTATTATTATTATTATTATTATTATTATTATTATTATTATTATTATTATTATTATTATTTATCTGGGATATCTACATTTTTATTATTCTTTAGTATTGCTTGGGACTTCAGCAAAAGCAGGATAGAAAGTAATTAATTCAAAACAAGCAAAGAGGAAGAAAAAAAACCCCAAAAACATCTTCATCAGCAAAGTCAGGAAAGAGTTTCAATTCTCAGATTGCAGAGCAGCAAAGAGACATCAACCTTTTTTTCCCCCTGTATAATCTTTGAGCCTGTCTTCTTGCAACTGGAAGAGTTGAAGAGATCCCTGTAATTTTGGTGTATTTATTGATATGATTTGGCCCTTGAAGAGTGCTTTGCCTCTGGAAGTCTCACTTGCAGTCACCCTCTTCTGAATCTCTTATTGCCAAATTGCAAATGTAGGGAGGTGAAGCCCTGGCTGATGTCTAGCAGTGAAACTCCAGGACTGGGGCTGAACTCAGGGCTGAGAAATGCTGCAGAACAGCAGTTCATCCTTGGAGGGCAACACAGTGGGGAAAACAGATCCACATCCAACAGGCTTGGATCAGCTTGTAGACAGACACGTGTATGTGCAAGCCAGAAAGCCTTGGTGCTGCAAACCTGCATGAAGTTCATGACCAAGACATTTATCTCCCCAGAGGCACAATGGCAGGTGAGGAACAACATTAACCTCAGCAGGTAACAGAATGGAGCCACCAGGCAGAGGTGACACCCGTCCCAGTGAGTCACCAGCAAGGCTCTCTGTGCAAACAGGGGTGTGCTGCACAGGGGATGCCTTAGAAGATTTCATCCTAAATTCAAGAAGGACTTGAGGGTGATGGTGGATGAGAAGCTCGGCATGAGCCAGCAATGTGTGCTGGAGCCCAGAGACCAACCACGTCCTGGGCTGCAGCAAAAGCAGCGTGGCCAGCAGGGCCAGGGAGGGGATTGTCCTACTCTAGTTTGGTCTTCTGAGACCCTACCTGGAGCACTGTGTCCAGTTCTGGAGCTCTCAATAGAAGAAGGACGTGAAGCTCTTGGAGAGAGTCCAGGGGAGGCCACAGAGATGATCCTTGGGCTGGAGCAGCTTTGCTCTGGAGCCAGGCTGGGAAAGGTGGGGTGTTCAGCCTGGAGAAGAGAAGGCTCCAGGGAGACCTTAGAGCACCTTCCAGTGCCTGAAGGGGCTCCAGGAAAGCTGGGGAGGGGCTTGGGACAAGGGCAGGGAGGGAGAGGACAAGGGGGAAGGGATGAAAACTGGAAGAGGGAGATTGAGGTGAGACATGAGGAGGGAATTGTGGAGTGTGAGGGTGGTGAGAGCCTGGCCCAGGTTGCCCAGGGAAGCTGTGGCTGCCCCATCCCTGGCAGTGTTGAAGGGCAGGTTGGATGAGGCTTGGAGCAACCTGGGCTGGTGGGAGGGGTCCCTGCCCATGCAGGGGGGTTGGGGCTGGATGATCTTTAAGGTCCCTTCCAAACCAGTCTCTGATCATATGATTCTAAATAGCCAGAGAAAGATTGAACTGGAAAAGAAGTGGTGCTCTGAGGCATGAGAGAGAGAGGAAAAGCTTGTGAAATAATACAGCAATATGTTCTGAGGCATGAGAGGCAAAGACAAAGCTTCTAAAATCATAGAGAAACAGTCTTTCTGAAAGAAAATAAAGGAGGAAAAGACCCTAGAATAGTGATGAGAACATAGATGTGCTTTCTTATTTTGTAGACAGCTGGTTTTGCACACCTAAACCCCACTGGGCAATGCCAGTTTGGTTATTTCAAGCACTCTCCCATCCTCCTACACGTTCAGATGTTCCTGTCAGAATTGGTCAAAATGTTTTAACTGATTTTTATTATTTCCCCCCCCCCCAAGAAGAAATGTCTTTTTATGCAAAACAAACATTTTGACAGAAAAAGGTAATTTGGGTCAAAATAATTTGCAATGTAAACAAGAACTCCAAGGAGAAATATCAGCATATTTGATTCCATTTTTGTTATGACAACTAATCTGAAGTTTGCCCAGCCTTGTTTTCTTCAGAAAAACAGCAAGGGGGACAAAAAGAAGGTGCTTTTTTCCCCACTCTTTGACCCAAACCCAGAGTTATTTCTCTCAATTTTAAGTTTCTCATCCAGTTTAGCCAGGCAGTCAATGTTTTTCTCCACCCAGTCTTTTAGGGAAGTGGTTCCAATAGCTCAGTTCCCAGTTACAGACACAGAAGAGCTACTCCCTGACCTCATCATCCCAAGGAAAGGGATAACATCACCCTCCTGCTTTTACTGGGAGCAGCTCCATCCAGCCACCAGGACAGTCATGCTGCGTCTTCATTCCTGCAGGTCCTGAAGGAGGCGCTGGGGAAAATCTGCACACGTGGAACCATCTCCCTGATGCAAAGGTGGAGCTGTGGGTGATGCCATCAGGAGTAGACAGCAGGTGGCACCCATGGATTAGCTCAGGGTTTGCTGGGGTGGGACTGAGCCAGGCTGGGCAAGAGTGCCAGGTGGAAAGGGGAGAAGAGCAGGGAAATGGGCTCCTTTGAGGGTCACCTCCCTGTCTTGTGTGGTGTGGCCTGGGGCACTTTGTCACTCAGACTATTCCTGTCACATTTTGTTAGCTTAGGGGCTTGGCCAAGGGGTGTCCTGTGTGTTGTGCCAGGGTGCAGCAAGGCCCCTGCTCCCTAAAGAGGAGGGAAGCAAGGGGGACACCATGGCTGGCAGGGAAGGAGCAGCCCCAAGGTAGCTGAGTAAAGAAGCAGGTAGGGTCAGCCAGGAGCCCAAATCATCTTCTCAGCAATCAGGTGGGCTTGAAATCCAGTTGAGAAATCAATCTACAGGTCAGGATAAATCTTGGTGAGACCAACCAGGGTCAGACGTAGCCAGGTGATTCCCAGGCAGCTCCAGGATGACAAAACAGACCCGAGTTCAAGCTGAGGAACCAGTTGGGATCAGGATTCAGATCAACAAAACCTACAGTTAGGAGCAAGGAGAGCTGGAGCAGAGCTGGAGACCAGCACAGCTCAAAGAAGGGCTGAGGGCTCCAAGCTGAGCTTAAATGGGCACCCAAGGCCCTGGGCAGGTGTGGGTGGGACTCCCAGGTGGGGCTGCTCAGGCCACTGACCTTGGGCCATCCCCAAAGTGCTGCATACTGGCTTTTACACCTCGGTGACCTCCTCATCAGAGCTAGCTCTGGCCGTGCCACCCTGGCTCTCTGCCCTTCCCTCCTGGTTCCCAGCGCCAGTTCCCCCACAACAGGCGTCTCTTCATGCAGCAGCTCTGAAGGGTGGGCATTGCTCGCAGGGCTGCTGCAGCCTGATCGGGGGGGGGCTGGAGGCAGCTCAGTGAGCTGAAGGTCGATGCCAACCAGGCTGTGGTGGCTCCAGATCGACCTCCACCTTCCCATTGCCTCCCCTGGGGTCCTGGCCACGCGCCGCCAGCCGGGCGGAAAGGCTGACCCGTCCGCCTAAGCGCCCGTGATTAACGTGCAATGAAGATGATGATCAGGCTGGGATCACAGCAGAGGGAACAGCCCGGCCAGGAGCTCATTCCCCAGCTGACAAACAGCAGCTCCTGGCAGCACAGACATCCACGAGGGGCAATGGGGGGACCACGTCTGCTGGTTCTCGCATCCTACGTGAGACTTGTTCTCAGCATCCCCGGCACGTCACCCTTCAGCAGCTGGAGCCAAATGGGAGGTCTTTGCTGGCTTTTATGCTAGGCTGAGTGATACAATTAGCTCAGTTCAATATGTTTTCCTAATCCAGTGTGCTGGAGGTCAGATGTGCTTTTATTTCTAGCCCTAATGGCTCTCTTAATGGCTTTCCCTGCTCAGGCTTTCTGAAGTAGACACCTAAAAGCAAGTTGGTTCTTTGAAAGGACTGTAGAATCATAGAATGGTGAAGGTTGGAAGGGACCTTAAAGACCATCCAGTTCCAACCCCCTGCATGGGCAGGGACACCTCCCACCACACCAGGTTGCTCCAAGCCCCAGCCAACCTGCCCTTCAACACTGCCAGGGATGGGGCAGCCACACCTTCCCTGGGCAACCTGGGCCAGGCTCTCACCACCCTCACACTCCACAATTCCCTCCTCAGGTCTCACCTCAATCTCCCTCTTCCAGTTTTTATCCCTTCCCCCTTGTCCTCTCCCTCCCTGCCCTTGTCCCAAGTCCCTCCCCAGCTTTCCTGGAGCCCCTTCAGGCACTGGAAGGTGCTCTAAGGTCTCCCTGGAGCCTTCTCTTCTCCAGGCTGAACACCCCAGCTCTCCCAGCCTGTCTCCAGAGCAGAGCTGCTCCAGCCCTCTGATCATCTTCATGGTCTGCTCTGGACTCCCTCCAACAGCTCCATGTCCTTCTGGTGCTGAGGGCTCCAGAGCAGTAGAAAAATTAATTCTAAGTCAGAAGTTTGGAACTTCTCTATAAAGTATGAGAGATGGAGTGATCTCAGTTCTCTCTCATGGAGCTTCACACCTTGGAAGGAGGGAAAAAAAAGTTTCTATGAGATGGAGAGGAAGGAGATCGACCATCTCATGTTCAGATTTAGAGCCTAATATTTCAGGCTGAGAGGGAGTCTGTGCTGGCCTAGGGCATCTTTATTTTACCCAGTGATGCAAGGGTTTAATAACAGTGACCCAAGGAAAGCTGAGGCTCCTTTCTCCCTTGGGAGCATGACAGCTACATTAAATAACAGTCATGAGAAAGGATCAGGCCTAGCCCTGAGGGGATTAATAAGTGCTAACAGCCCTGAGCAGCCTCACCTGGGACCCCCACCCACCCTCTGCCCTTTGCTCCAGGAGCCCCAGATAAGCTCAGAGCCAGGTTGTTGGTCTTGGGTTGGGCTGTGGGTCTGGTTTAGGTTCCCTGGCTGATGGGTTTGGGTTTCTTTTGCTGGTAGTGTTACCTACTGTGTTGGTTCTGGATGGACTTCCAGTGCAGGCAGCTCTTCTGGGGCTGTGCAGTCCTGCAGGCTGCTCCTTTTGTATCTTGGCTCAATCCTGCTGATGTTGCTCACTGCCATTTGGGGGCTGTTGCTCAAAGGTGAGTTGTTCTCCTGCCTGGGCACCCCTTGGTGTGAGGTCTGGGTGGCTCTTAACAGTCTTAACCCTTGTGTCTGAGACAGGAGCTTTTCCTTGAGCTTGGCTTGTTGCCTGACTGAGGAGGAACGTGCTGGGGGCTGAAATGAGGGTTTGTGTGTCCCCTCCTAGTAAGCAGAGGGGTTGTACCAGGCCTTCCTCTTGGTCTGCCAGCCCAGTGTGACTGCCCATGGGCCCCCTCTGTGCTCCAAGGGGGCTGTTTTGCCCCTTTCCCTGGAGGGGGGAGCTTGGGGTCCCCATCCCAGCAGGCCTGGGCTCACTTGGCCAGTCTCAAAGGCACTGGAGGTTGGACAAGGAAAAGGGGTGTTTTCAACCCAGCTCCAGGAACCTCCTCCCAGGTGACTGGGGGTAGCAAGAGCCCCTGAGTGAGCTGGAGGAAATGATCTGTTTATGAGGCTCAAGAACTGAGTTCAAGGCTGGAGCTGTGTTGGTCAGTGCTGTGCAAAGGCCTGGGAATGAGAGGAATGGGGGGAATCAGAGGTTTCTCTTCATGGTTTTGGGCTCTGGGTGTGTTGGGGATAATGTTTGGGCTCCTGGCTTTTTTGCATCTGTCAGAGACAAGCTACTGAGGAAGCTGTGGCAGAGAGGGATGGGAAAAACTTCTGCATGTCAGATGCCAAAAGAAAAGTAGTTTCTGAGCAGGAGTCACTTTTTATTCATAGGAAAAAATGAACAAGAGGAAATAGCAGCAAGTGACCATGGGCTCAGCTGAATATCTTCAGGATCTCAGGCACAGAGGGAGTGTCAGGAGGGGAGGTTTATTTGATGGCAAACACCCTGGCTGGTACAGAACCAAAGAGGCTCCAGACTGAGCAGGGAGGACTTTTATGGCAGCAATCACATAAACATTGTGAAGGATAACTATAATTCTTTGGGCATTTCTGGGTTAGATGGCAGTAAAATTGCAGCAAGAAGCAATTTTGCTTGAATCAACTTGATAAGAAACCCCCAACATAGGGAAGAGCAGAAGGTAGGAAATTGTTAGCATTGCTGGGGCTGAAAGATAAGATTGTACTCCCTGCAGCTGCACTAAAAGAAGAGAAATGATCCATAGGGGCAATTCAGAAAGAAAATCATGTGCAATTAAAGTTGTTTGAATTGCAGTTTTAGGGAAGCATGGGTGGAGGAGAAGGCCAGTTTCAGTGGAAAGTCTGAAACCTCCTTCCCTTGTGCTTTTAGAAAGCAGCACTAGTTTTGGAAAAACAGATTAGCTGGGCAGGGCAACCTCTAAAGAAGCACAGAATATTAGAGGTTGGAAGGTACCTTTGAAGATCATCAAGTCCAACCCCCCTGCCAGAGTAGGACAAAAAAAAACCCAAAAAACTTAAAGCAACAACAACAAAAACCAACTAGGGCAGGTCACTCAGAAAAGTATCCAGATGGGTCCTGGAAGTCTCCAGAGATGGAGACTCCACAGCCTCTCTGGGCAGCCTGTCCCAGGGCTCTGTCACCCTCACAGGAAAGAAGTTCTTCTTCATGTTGAGGTGGAACTTCCTGGGCTCCAGTTTGAATCCATTGCCCCTTGTCCTGTCACAGGGCACAAGTGACAAGAGCTTGTCCTGCCTTCTTGATGCCCTCATGTATTAATAGACATTAATTAGATCCCCCCTCAGTTTTCTCCTCTCCAGACTGAACAGCCCCAGGTCTTTCAGCCTTTCCTCATCAGGCAGGTGTTCCAGTCCCATCAGCATCCTCGTAGCCCCTCTTGGACTCTCTCCAGTAGATCCCTGTCCCTCTGGAACTGGGGAGCCCAGAACTGGACACAACACTCCAAGTGAGATCTCACCAGGGCTGAGTAGAGAGGCAGGAGAACCTCCCTTGACCTGCTGGAGACACTTCTCTTAATGCACCCCAAGATACCACTGGCCTTCTTGGCCACAAGGGCACATGGTTGTCCCATGGGTAACTTGTCTCCCAGGACTCAAATGTCCTTTTCCATGGAGCTGCTCTCTAGCAGGTCACCTCCTAACCTCTACTGGTACAAGAAGAGCAAAGGATGTGGCAAAAGGGACCTTACAGAGAGATGCTGATCCTGGGGGATGTGTGCATGGAAAGGTAGCTGACCCTGAGTTTGCCAGGAGCAAGAGGCAAGTCTGGGGAAGACTCGAAGAGTGGCAGGAGGGCTGAAAATCTCATCTCTGGAGTTCTTTGCCAGCAGTTGTGGCTGCTTTTCTTGCTCCTCTTAGCGTGTGGGTGGTGGAGGATGGTTGTGCTCTGGCAAGGCTGGGGTCCTGGGAGCAGAGGTGGGTGCTTGTGCAGCTGCCACCAGGAGCATCTCTCCACCCTCCATCCCCTCCTGGGGCCTCCAGGCCCCAGCACATGGGATTGGACCCTGTGCTGCTGGTAGGTTTTGGACATGGTCCCCAGACTTCAGATAAACCTCAGTCCTGAGGGGGAGGGGGGGCAAAAAAGGCAGATGAGGGTGCAGAGGGATGTGGTCATTGCAGGTTTCTGTTGGCATCTGCCCTTCTTTGGGCTCCATATGAGCACAGTGCAAACACCACAGGCTAAAGGCTAAAAAAGAAAACGTTGCCAGGTGAGGGTGTTTGCATGAGCTCAAATAACTGTCCCAAAAGCTGTCCTGGTGGGGCTTTGCCTGGGCAGTTTGCTTGGGTGGACCTGTGGCCACATTCCCACGAGGAGATCCCTGCTGCAAACTGCTCCTGAGGCCCCTGGAGCTGCTGCAAAAATGTGGAGGGAAGTGACCAGCTGATCCTAGTTTGCCATGACAGCATCTTTGCCTGGCTTCCTGAGTGGGAATCAGGGTATTTGGGAGGGAGCTGGTGCATCCTGTGCTGCAAGATCCCCTGAAAAGCTGATGGTTCCTCTTGCTGTCCCACCAGCCCCCTGTTGAGGGGGCCCAGCTCCAAACAGATGGTGACAGGGAGGACTGGGGTGGGGATAATGGTGTGAAGGTGGCATCTCGTGCATGATGAATCTGACATGTTGCCATGGGACAGCTGCAGTTTGGAAGCCTGAAGCATCAGCCAAGCTTCAGGGTGACTTCTGCAGTTGCTGTGTTCCCTTCCTTGCTGCCAGCTGCTTCAGAGGGAGAGG